CAAAAGATGATTATTAGCTTTCTGGCTGATGTTTAACACAACTCTCATGTCTTTAAGGTGCATATGGGGCTAAGGCCAACAGCTGTTGACATGATAGAAATGCTGCAGTGGCACAGACTGTCCAGAAACCTGCTAATACCTCTAAATTTCACAAATTGAAACATTTGAATCTCAGGAAGAAGCATTGTGGTTTTTTTAGGGTTATGTGTCAGACTATTTCTCACAGGAAAGAAAAAACATAGCGTGTAGAGCGATAAATCAGAATTTGTTACCTTTACACAGAGCCAGGCAAACAGTTTTCCTGTTTCCAGTCGTGATGCAAATGTACACAAGTGCTTCTCTAGCTTTACATAGCTTTCTTAGTTCTTCATCACAAACGTCAACTGTTTTTTACACTTATGTCAGACACAAACTAATAATAGAAACGGTTTGTGCGTTCATTGCAGGCAAACGTCCTCATGAGTGTAAGATCTGCAACAAGGCCTTCAAGCACAAGCACCATCTGATTGAACACAGCCGACTGCACTCCGGAGAGAAACCCTACCAATGTGACAAGTGTGGCAAACGCTTCTCCCACTCTGGCTCTTACTCCCAGCACATGAACCACCGTTACGCATACTGCAGCAAAGACCAGGATCCAGACCAAGACCAAGATGACATGCCTCTCACGCCGGGAGCGGGTAACAGTCTTGTGAGACGCCTCTCTGAAGACGCCCCTCTGTCACTGGATGAAACCCAAACTCCACACTCTTTTCTCAGTGATTCCAGTCTGGATGGAGCGCCGGATGCTCTCAAAGAGGAGGAGGAGGAGGAGGAGGAGGAGGAAGAAGGGGAAGCAAGAGTTTGCGATGACCGTGAAGAAGAGGCAGATGTGAATTTGCCAGAACCAGCAGAGGAGCTGGGAGGTAACTCCATACAAGAATCACCTGCAGGTGAGAATGGAGTTGAGAGTGAGAGAAATAGATATGACATGCAAGATCATATTGACAATACAGAGAGCCAAACTTGGGACAGAGACACCGAGGACGGGAATGGAGACTTGGACAAATGTGAACTGAGTTTGGATTTAACAGAGTTACCCAGAATTAAAACTTAAGGTGACTTTAACCAGCCATTAAAACCCATTTACTATTAAGACTTGTTTTTTTTTCTTACGTATGTAATAAAGACTGATTTTTGTTATTTACTTATCTTACAAAATGCACAGAACTGTCAAAGGATGCGTGGCCTTATAGAGGACAAAGCCATCAATCAAATGTATGTGAGAATTTCAAAGCGTTATCCTGTAAAATAGACTTGATGTATCTATAATGTTTGCCCTTTTTTCCTTTTTGTTGTCTTTCAGAACCTCTAAAAAAATGGGTTGACTAGTCTGAGGTCATGTCACATATCCAGATATGATGTTGTCTATTTTACATGCTTGCTGCTGCTGACTGTTGCACAACCAAAACAACAAAAAAAGCTTTTTTTTTTTCTTTTTAATTCCGGGTTTCGGTTGCTTTTTTTTTTGTACTTTATTTGTTTGCATGTAGATTCACACCAATGAGTGGCCTTAGAAGCTTGAAGGAAGCAGAATAGAAAGACATCTGGTCTTAATTTAATGTGGCATCAAGGCCAGAAGTTAAAGGCTACAAGCAGATTTGCCACGATGTCTAGTTAGCATATTTATTCTCAAGTGCAAATAACTTTCAGTTTCTACTATCCTTTTATTTGATGCAAATCTTTACCTCTGTTTTAAGAATTAGCAACAACTGCAACATGTTTTCAGCTGAGATGCACATGCAGTTAGTCCTTTGTCCCAAAGCCGGCGATTGCTTGAGTATGTATAGTGCAGGTTATATTGTAGGGCTCTTGACATTTATGCTGTGAAATTATAAGGTTTCAGGTTAACTATGTTGCTCTGTGGCTTTAACTAATCACCGAGAGTAAGAAGGGGAAAAAGGGGGAGGCAGAAGTGGGAGGTAGTTATTTATTTTTTTTAAAAAACCAAAAGCATCGGACTGCACCTTTAAAAGTGTACACCTTGCTTGAGGACAGTCATTTCTACATTTCTGCATGAGAGGTTAAAAGGGGCAAAGATGAAGTCAGCCTTTGGGGTTTTTCCCAAGAGCAAGCAAATACAATTTGCACTGTCGCACTGTACATGTAATAATTACAAAGAGTGGCTTGATTTCCTTCAGTGCTGAAATGTCGGGCATTTCTCGTAAAAATTTTCATGTGCTTCAGCATGTTTTCACACCTTCTGAATAATAATAATGTGTCGCACTTTGTGGCTGTTTGTTGAGGTGTGGCAAGAGGGTCAAGACTCAGGACACACACATGAGCTTTTAACTTCCTCTTTCTGACTGCAGTGTAGTCAACGTGAAAAGTGCCTCAGATGTACTCTGACACTGTGAGTAATCCGACAAAGCCTTGCTACGATGAGATAAGACGGTGGTGCATGAGGTGTGACTAAGCTTGCAGCATTCATGCATACCTTGGGCCAAAGACGCTTTTTTTTGGTCATAATACATTTGTGTGTGTGTGTGCGTGTGTGTGTGTGTGTGCATATGTGGCACGCCAAGTGCCATCCTGCTCTTGTACAGTTCCTCACCTGATATTTTTGCTCCAAAAAAGTGAGCGAAAAACAAAAATGTTTTACTTCCCCTCAGTGTCTGCACACTTTTTCATTATATCAAGTACTGTTTATTTTTTCCTAGCACTCATGCAATATTTGTATTATCTTTTATATATATATATTTTTTGCATGTTTGTGGATATTTGTAATAAAACTGTACAGACATTTTTCAGCAGAACCTCTCATTTCCTTGATTTTTCCAATTAAACCTCACGATGTGGCCCCTAAAATGGGCTGGTTTCTTTTTTAGCAGCCACGATGTGTTGAAATCAGAAGGCACCTTAAAAGATTTTCTGGTCAACATCGCTATAAAAACGATCAAACGCCTCAGCTTTTTGAATTTTCTGCTTAAGCACAAACATCTGCACAAGACAGTTTTGAAGCTCGGTTGTGGGGACCACTCCGTTTCCCATCACAGTAAACAGTTTCCATCAACACTCAAGATCTCAAGACTGTTTTGTTACACTGGCTTTTTTGTGGCTCTCTTTATTTGCATGATGATTCATCAGAGGTGCCTGCTTTGCGCTTGTGAACCTGTGTGTGTGGCTGGGGCAAACAGAGGTTGAGCAGCTCTGCTGATATTTGATACACTAAGCTTTAGGTTAACGGTAGTTTGGGTAAACAGTCAGCTAACCGTAACAATAACGAACCCTGCCAAGTGACGTGGGTTAGATACTTTTGGGTGCCATGCATCAGTGGCCTTCAGTAAACTGTTGCACTGCAGCACTGGCTGCTCTTTGACTTAGAGCAAAGTTGATACAAATTTTTACATTATAGTTTTTAAGAGGGCTATGACACCTCGGTTACGCAGCATCACTTGCGGGAAGGCCCAGTCATGGGTAACAGGTTGTCAGATTGAGTGCTGAGCATTTTTAAGTTTCAATTCCCAGTAACAGCTGAGTGACACACCGAACAGAGCTACAGATGTATTCCACTGGTGGGTGGATCTAACAATAAGGTCAAGACATCTGTGTAAGCCATTATCTTCCTAAACTGGCATCTTTTCCTCCAACAGTAAGCTGAACCTAAAATTTACAAGAGTGCAAATGAAGATAAAACAGAAAGAAGAGAATTCAAACCTGAGCCTTAGCTCGGATTCAGAAGGTTCCAGCTAATTCAAATGTTGATTGTGAAAAATAAATGATTTTTGATCAATGCAGAGAAGCACAAATCAATTCTAATTAATAAATGCCACACAGAATGGCAGCAGAAAAAAAAAATCACCTACAGATGCAAAAATCTCTTGCGTGTGCGAAAAAAATGCAGTTAAAAAAATGCATTGGTAAACTAATTTCTCCACGAGCCTGCAGCACATCTGCTGTCTTGTCTGCATCCTGACACAAAAGCACAAGCTGTGTTTTGCTTTACTTTAAATATATATCATGCAATAAATAAGTCAAAGCGAGAACGAAGTAAGGATGATGTAATAGAGTCTGACTTTTGATGCCAACAAATTGCTGATTAGGAGCGAGGTCTGTTTCTGTCTCTGTCTGATTAGAGTTTTAGGGGCTGATTAGCACCATCGCACCAAAGCGAAATAAAACACATCACAGAGCTTGGTCTTGGTCAGACGGCGCTTTAATGCCATCTGGTTTCTACCAACAGAAATTTCTCTTCAGTTTCAGGATTAGGAGAGCATTCAAAAAAACACACACAGCGAGATATCGTTACGAAATATAGGCTGGATCACGTGCTTCCGCGTGTTTACATTATCTCGGTGTCATAAATGGAAACATTCGGTATGATTTTGAAAGTTTGGATGAAGAAATAAAACAAAGAAATTAAAATAAACAAATGAAAAGCCAGCAGTGCTGACTGATGGCCATATTGTAAATGTAAATGCAGTAAATGCACACAAGCCACATGCTTTGTCTACGGTGAAAAGTTGATCAAATTTAAGCAGCAAACTGGAAGCGCACCATAGACTCCCCGATCAATCATCCGCACATAATCTCAGCCCCTCCCAATGTGCTCACATGACTTGAAATAATACAAACATAAAAATGAATAAATACATCCAATAAAACAGAGCAGAGCCCCCTCCACCACCACCACCCCCACAGCAGTGCCTCTTTTCTGCTCTTTTTTGTCTTTTGCCAAACCCACAGTCAATATAAAATTACCCAGGCCGCAGAGTGAGCGAGTGAGAGGGTTTGGGGGGAAAATCCACATTTTTAAAACATATGCATTTCCAGTTCCTCTTTTGTTCTGTTATTAAAAGCAGCATTTGCACCAATCACAGGGGATGCCTCCGCCCGCCGAGTCTCCGAGGTCCGCATAGCTCCACACGCTTCTACTATCTCTCACGCGAACCCATCGCTCAAACAACAAACAACCTGACAGGACACATCCTGAGCAAATATCATAATGCGGCTCAAATCAGTTTGTTCACATATTTTTATTGCAGGAGGAGTAAACAGTCAGATCCAACACTCTTCATTTCAAAGCAAAAGTATCAGTTTGAATTTAGCTAATTGTAATATTTAGGTTGAACACTGTATGCAAAGTGCTACTAGATGAGAAAGACAGTATTTCACATATTTACAACAATATATTTAACTTAACATTAGGAATTTGCACTATTAAAAATAGAAGACAGATTCAAATTAGTAAAATAAGGGTTGCTCTGACACTACAAAGTACTATTTGGTAAAAAGGAACATTTTCTGCCTTGTTGGCACATTCATCCTGCCACTGAATTCATGCTTTTACTTTTTTTTCCTTCAAATAAACCCTGCAAAAATGGTGGAGATGTGGGCACCTGTGCACGTCTATCCAGGCAGGATCTGTCCACCCTTGTTTGAAGAGGTGCTGGTGCATGTGTTTTCACAGTGAGATGGTTTCGCCAAGTTTTGTTTCAGTGCTAGCTTAAGACACGTTCCTCCTCCCAATCCTCGATTATTACCGACTGAAACACGCTACAGGCTGGAGAAGATTTATCGCTTTTACGGCTTTTTATTTATTTATTGGATCAAGTCTGAAACATCAAGGAAAAGTGACAAGGAGGCGTCTGTTCCAGCAGTGAAGTTCACCGGGGCTGGGCTCCACATCTGCAGTCAAAGGCACAAGTACTGGAGCTAAAATTGGCTTGTTTTACTATTATTGTTTTAGCATGGCTTTATATGGAGGCCAGATGTCATGATTAGCAGCTTTCTGTCCTGGTTCTTTTTACCCCGTAATTATCTTTTGATGTGAAATCCATTTTACACCATATGAGTCAACAGGCAGGGAGGACAAATGCTCCAAAACTTGTGCTTTTGTCTGATGTCAAGGAGCAAAAGATCAAGAGAGGCCTCTCGTTCCGAAGATGTGGTCGAATTCAGTGAGGATGAGCTCCACTGCCTGATTTTGGTAAACCATGTTCACTGCCATGTTGCCGTTATCCCGCTCTGGGCGCATCAGCGTCGGCCCGAACACAATGCCGATGTTCTGGGTGGTCATTCTGTTCGTTTCAGAATTCTCCAACACTCTGCGGGAAACGAGAGAGCGGACAGCGCAGGTTAATAACTCCTTAAATATTAAATTTTGCCAACAAAAAGGATTTGGAATCGCTTCGGCTTCTGAATTTTTAGAGACACGTGCTTAGTGATTCTAGGGACGTCATCCACTCCCACCACATTAGCTCAGACTGAAATATCCCAGCAACTAGTGGATGGACTTTACTGACTTTGGTGATCCCTGACATTTCCTTAAAGCCAGCATGAGGTTGACATTTGTGGTTTTGAGTGAAAGGTCTCAACCGCTGTTGGATGGAGCGGCACTGAAGCAGCTACACATGGCACGGCTCAGGATGGGCGTGAAACATTTTGGCTGGAGTCATGATCAGATTAAAGTTTAACTAATCATCAAGTGTTATCCTGCTAAATCCCTAAACTGAGAAAGTGGACGCGGCTATAGCAGCGTTAGCACTGCTCTCGTGCTCGTGTTGGCATGCATCCATTAGCATTTACTTTCACAGAGTTGCAAGCACAACTGCAGACTCGTGTCAAGTTATAGAGCAAGCATAGAAACCACAAGTAACCTTCCCCTAAAGGTTCATGTTTGTGGTCGCGATGTGACATCTTTGTAATTTTTACTTAACTCAGGAAGTCAGCTACAAGAATCCGCTTGTATATCCATCTGTCACATCTTGTTTTTGCATCTATTTTCACGTACATGAATCTGGGTTTTATAACGTGGATCTGTGCACAAAAGTGTTCTAAATCCGCTGCTTGTGTCCACCTATGCTAGCGTATGTGTGTGTTACAGTGTGTGTGTGTGTGATTAGGGGGGGAACTAAGGAATGGTTAAAGCCACAGCATGAGGCATTCTTCTAAAAATGCCATTCCCACCAAGCCACAGAAGCAGCCAGCAATTGCTCAAAACTTCCACATTAAAAAGAGAGGAGGAAAAAAGGGAGAGAGGAGAGGGAAGAGGGAAAAAAAAGAAGCGAGCGAGGAAGAGGGAGAGGAGAGAGAACGAGAGAGAGGTTCCAGTGGTGGCGGCGGTGGTGTTGGTATGCCTTCCAGCAGACGAACCACAAGGCTCCCATGGGACCTTCGAGGCAAGTAGGAGAGCGAGGGGGGGGGAGGGAAGAGCGAGCAGGAAGAGGGAGAACAAGGAGAAAGGGATCAAAAGAGGAGGACATAAGGAGGAAGAGGAAAGGGAGAGTGGAAAAGAGAGGAAAGAGGGACAAAGAGGAAGTCAGGAAAGGTGGGTAGCGTGCCAGGAAAAGAGGAGGCGAGGGACCTGATTAAGGAGCGAGATAATAAATGAGAAACAGAGAAAGGAATGACAGCGGAGAGAAAACGAGAGAAAGACACAGAGTTGACAAATTCATGGGGCCCACCACACCCTGGCACAAATATCGTCCTCAGAACACGAACACTCACCCCTGGAGTGGAAGGAAAAACCATAGGCGGTAAAAAACACACATTTTATGTACTGTAAAAGGAACTGGCTCGCAGAACATTGTACGCCATTCATCTTCCTCCAGCCTTTTCATCTTCACAGGGACCCAAAGTTAACAACAGTGTGATCCCGGTTCAGCGCTGGCATACTTTGAGAGCTGTGGCCAAAGAATCCCCGACAGAAATTTCGGAGACCGACGAGGGAAGTGCCCCCTCTTGTGGTCAGGTTTTAAAAGAAAAGGAAGATATTTTCCTTTCCTACCAGGGCATCTGGTTCATTCATTTGTCCCTAAACGCCTCAAGGAAATACCCAACATTATGAACTCTACCCTGTTAAGGGCACTGGAACCATTACAGACAATAAAAACAGGCACAGACTTAAAAAAAAAACAAAAAACGAACACATCAGTGGAATAAACACTAATCGTGGGTTATTCTCACCGTTTGAGGTGGCGGCACATGAACTGTAGCGTGTCGTGGTTTGGAGGAGGCATGTTGAGCACCAGACACTTCAATCGATCGATTTTGTCCATATAGTCTGACATTTCTGCAACACAGAGCAAGATATGCATCAGATCAGGCCAAATGTCATCATGCATTTTATTAGCATTTTCAGACACATCCCCCAACTGATATCATATTACGAGCATCCGCTATCTAATCGGATACACTTTATCTGCAGATCAATCCATGTGCCCACAGTCGACAAAAAGTGTCCAATGCATCGATGACAAAATGCATTTTTAAAATATTTCCCTGATCTTTAATATGCTAATGTTCTACTAAGAGGAATTACTGTAAAATGCCAGATTGTCCGCCTGCCTGTCTTTAAGCATAAGTAGAAGATAACGAGATAAAGTGCCATATCATGTAAGCGCAGGAAATCTGAACATAAGTAAAGGAAACGCAACTCTCAGTGTCAGCAAATTCTCACAAAAAGATAACAAATAAAGTGAAACTAATAATATGTTTGCTGGAGTCGATGCAAAAAGCTATTTAAGAGTCATTCTGACACATCACTTTTTTAATTGAATATTTGTGGCTTTTTAAGATTCACATTTTAAGGAGGGGAAAAAAATGTAGTGCGTGTGAAAGTAAATTGTAAAATTGTTTTCGTTTTACGGCGTCTGTGACAAGTTTCCAGTTCGACTCAAACAGATCTTCACAAAAATGCCTTCATCACAGTTTGAGGATGTAAAATGTAAAGATTTTTATTTATTTACACACATATATACATATATGGGTGTGTTTACGCAAATGCTGCATCAGTATAACGATATAACATTTTCTAAACATGGAAAGGGAGTCGAGTGAAGTGTGAAAACAAAGTAAAAACGATTTAAGATTCTAACCAAGCCTACGCTGGTTTTGACTCAGTAAGACCACAGTTGTGTTGTGTGTATTCAAAATACTACAACAGAGGAAAATAATATGTGAAATTAAAAAGTGGGCGTCCTGGTGGTCTGGATGTTTAAGAAGCTGACTGTGCAGCTGCATCGCCTGGACCATTATTACCAAGTAAAAGGCACGAAATGACAAATATCTTCCTGAGCTTAAATATATCTCACCTCAAATACGAAGCACATTAAAAATTGACTTCACGCGCACGAGGCAAAAGGTTATGAGAATCTATTTGAGTGATTTTCAAGACGGGGGTGGGCGATTCATTTTCCCAACGGAAACAGGGACTGTGGTGGAGGGCAGTCCCGGTTTTCCAGTCGTGTGGGAAAATTAACTTTAAAATTAACACTCCTAATCTAGAATATTTGTACAGATTACAAAATAAACAGTCCGGGGCTGAAACTGGTTACTCACTGACTGTCTCCACAATGTCGGTGAAGAAGCCGTACGGCACGAGGGGCTCGGGAAGCTCGCGAAAGAAGAGTTTCAAAGCTCCCGTGATGACATGTATGTCCTCCCACTCGCTCTCGTCCAAATTCAACTTCTCCTCTGAGACAGAGAGGGAGAGGAGGAGGAGGATGAGGAGAGATTCAGCCAGACGGGGTCAGGGGAAGTGAAGGAAAGGCGACAGGGATACGACATACAGAGACAAAGAGTTTAAATTTAGAGTCACAATTGTCACAGGATTGGCTGACATAAGCAAAGTGTAAATTCACTTCAGCACTGAGGCGTAACATGAAGGCTTGTAGCTGCAGCAGGGAGATAGAGATGCTCTGTAAAAGTAACAAGCACAAACACACTGGCGCACAAGTACACACACACTTTAAAGGATAAAGCACACTTGTTTTTTTAGACACAAGCCAGACTAATGCTTCTCGTGTTGGATTATAAGAGGCACTGAAACGAATTTGAGGCTGATATTGATATACGGCAGTCAACAAATCTCTATTTTCTTATGATGTGAAACATCAGAGATGTTGCTGGGGGAGTAGAGCGCTTCACGAGCAGCTGATTCTCTGTTTCAGCCACTTGGTGGCAGCCACGGACTGTGTGAGGAGCCGCTGTACAACCTGCTGCACATTATTACATCAGAAAACTTGAAGCACAAAAGCCTAAGGGACACACATACATTAAGCAAATGGTAACACACACATCCACACAAAAAAGAGAAAAGTTTGCTGCCCGTCTGCGCCTCGGCTCGGCTCGGCGCTTCAGTCTGTGGGTGAGTATTTTTGGGAGGTTCTGACTGAGGTGTTCACATTATGCAACACGTAATGCACAAAAACCAAGCAGGCTGAGTACGATGTGAAAGCGGCGGTTTGCCTTGTCTGCCCGAATGTACCTTGTACCAACTCCGCTGGGAACATGTAACGGCCATCGGTAGTCACCGCTCGCTCTGCAAAAACCAACAGTTACTCAGACAGCTTCCCCCCCATGTCTGTTATCATAAGGATGTCGTGTAGTGTGGGACAGTGACTGATTTCAAACATTATGTTACGCACTCTGAAACAAAACATCATGAGATAAATTTAGTCTTGATTTTAAGCGACTGAAACAGATCATTTCTGCTAAAAAGGGAAAAAAAACAAGACAAAAAACAGGGCAACTTTGATCCTCTCCTAAATTTCTTCATATTCCCCCCCCTGTTATTACAGAACAGTTATCATCAGTAGTTTCCCACCCTCCCCTGCATCCTTACCGTGGTTCACCAGAAAGCGCAGTTTCTGTATCACAGCCAGGTTTCCTGATACTCTGTAGATGCCGTCGGTCTCCAGACCTGCAACACACCAAACAAAGCATGCTAGACAAGGGGATCTCCACCGCTGCCTTAGATAATCAAAGTCAAAATGAAAGTATCACATGACCATTTCTTTTTAAGCTTCATCAGTGATAGAGATTGTGTCGTCAGTTGTGAGCCGGTCTGAGCTCACTTCATTGTTTTGCTGCTCTTGGCAGCCAAATCTTCTGCAAATCAATAATTCAGTATGCAGAGGTTATGCAGTTTGTTATGTTGCGTAAGTGGAGACGTAAGTAGAGCAGTTTTCAAAACCTTAAAAAAAAAAAA